CCCACCCACCCCTTGCAGGCAAGGAATCTGCAGCCAAGTGGTCGGAGTTTACCAAAAGACCAGCACCCCGGGAAAATACCAATACTACAATTCTAGTAGGTTGGGAGACTTCGGTGCTCAGCCGGTGGGCTTCCGGGGGAGTGGGAAGCGTTTGGGGCCATAGGAAGGTTCATAGGAGTGGGGCTCCTAGGAAGGGGAAGGAAGGGGGGGGGGAGAGGGGGCTATGGGGCATCAGGGGGGGGGGAATCATTCTGCCTTCCCCCCCCCCCCCACCTCCCCCAGGGTGGGAGACCCACATTGTGGGCTACGTGGCTCGCACCAACTACGACGACTACGCCTTCCTTGCCTGGAAGAAGAACAGCAGCTACGGCTACACCATCACCACCCAACTTTACGGTAGGTGGCTTCTGCAGGGACGGGAGCCAGTCCTGTGCAAAACGGGGGAGGGGGGGTGTTCCCGGGACAGGTGGCTTGGCCCTCCACTTTTGGGGGCAGAGACGGGTTGTCGACGGTCCCCACAGCCTCCAAGGCAGTCCCTCCGGATCCGACTGAGGCCCTGCCTGCTTGCCTGCAGAAAGACCCTCCTCTCTCTCTGGGCCCCCAGCTGGAAGACATGGCGCACATACACGCACGCACGCACACCTGATCCCCAGCAGAGGAGCCCACCCAGGAGTGGCGGGGGGGGGGGGGGGCAAGGTGGATTGGGGCTCAAGGGCAAAAGAAGGCTCCGCCCACGGGTGTCCTGTTTACCCTGATTTTCAGAAGGCGGGGTAGGGGGTAGGCCGGAGGGTTGGTCCTCCGGGAGCAGGGCCAGGCAGAGAGAGAGAGGCTGCCGCTCAGGGACATGTTTCCAGGCCTCTTGGCCAACAGCTGGGTCAGCCTCCCCCCCTCCCTTGGCTGCTTTGGGGGAGAAAAGGAAATGGGAGACTCATTGGGCTGCCTCCCAGAGCCCACCAAAGCTCAGAGGGGAGCCCTGCAATGCAAGCGATGCCAGCCCGCCGGCCCTGGCCGGCGTTCGTAGGACGAGGTTGCCTGCTCCTGAAGGGGGAGGCTCCGCTCAGCAATGGAGGGATTCAA